CAACAACAACAACAACAACAACAACAACAACAACAACAACAACAACAACAACAACCACAATCATTTAAGACTGGGGACACTCCGTTCTCACCAGTGCCAGGGTTTTCATAGGAGGCGGGCAATACCCCCACTTTGTGGGGGGGCCGGTTCAAGCTCTACCAAATTTCCAAACGACTCTTCGCCACCACCCACACCCAGCTTCCCGCCCTATGACGTTCGGACACTTCACTTCGTGGCATGCGGACGACCGTGGCTACTATTCAGGGCCCCGCGGCCGACGACGACGGCGTGCGCGCGCGAAGAAAAAACGAATGTGTCCAATATGGTATTATTTGACAGGGATGATGGCCCTGACATGCGCGCAACCGTGGTTGCAGAAGTTCGAAGCACGTGAAAAAGTTGCTCGCAAGAGCCCGTTTGACAGAAATGTTGAAAAAATATTGGGTTTCCTCAGAAATCCGCAAGAGCGCGCAAGATGAATGTTTGAAACTTTGTTTTGAAAAACCATTGGGTTTTTCATGTTTTTATGTTAAAATCGCTACGAAAACTAAGGTTTTGGAAGGATTTCATCTTGCGCGCGCGAGTGTGCACTTCGTGTCATTTTTTTCAAAGGATTCTTGAAGTTTGGTTATGTTAGAACAAGAAATTTCATTTTATAGTGTTTTTTGCAAGGGAAAGCGGGCGTCAACAAAACAACCGGATCTGGATGACATCGTTTTACCTGAGACTTCCTCACGAAAATGATGAAAATGTGGCTGCGGCCTAGGCGCGGGGGGGGGGGCGTGCACCAGGGGGCCCAACAATAATTATTCTTTAGAATTAATAATGTTCAACAACAACAACCACAACCACAACAACAACAGCAACAAAACACGCGACAAGGTGCTGTCGGCCGTTTCCGGCCCCAGGAGGCCCGCGCTGGGCTCCAGGGGCGTCAAAAAAACACCTCGGGCTGGAAATCTGGCCCTGGGGACCCACTCTCCTTTCCCCTCATCACCATCAGCAGACAAATCACCATCAGCATCATCAGCATCATCAGCATCATCAGCATCATCAGCATCAGCAGACAAAGCAACGGTGCCATAAAGTGTTCTCGGCTCCTCCCTCTGGGGATCTGCATAAAGGACACACAAGCGGTATCTGATACTTCCAATCGTGTAAACGCTTGGCCGTAACAAAAGACCTACAGAAACTCTCCTTCACCGTCATCGTCGTCATCATCACCGGCATCATCATCATCAGCAGCAGCATCGTCATCATCAAATCACGATCGCCATCACCGTCACCCTCTACCCGTACCCACATAATCGTCATCATGTTCATCCATATCATCAGCACCATCAGCATCATCATCATCATCATCGTCAGCATCATCATCAGCAAAATATCCAGCAAGATATCCAGCAAGCATTCACCATCCACCATCCAACATCCATCACTCAGTATCCATCATAGTCATCAGCGCGACAAACATCATCCTCAGCAGCAGCATCAGCATCAGCATCATCCTCATCAGCATCAGCATCATCATCCTTATCCTGATCCTGATCCTTGTCATCATCATCATCATCATCATCATCATCATCATCATCATCATCATCATCATCATCATCATCATCATCATAATCATCATCATCATCATCATCATCATCATCATCATCATCATCATCATCATCATCATCATCATCATCATCATCATCATCATCATCATCATCGTCGTCATCGTCATCGTACTCATCATCACCATCATCATCATTATCCTCATCAGCAACATCATCATCATCAGCAACACCATCATCATCATCATCATCATCATCATCATCATCATCATCATCATCATCATCCCTCGTCCTCTTGCTCTGCCACATCTCCCCCTTTCCCAGAGACGCGGGGGTGCACTTGCAGAGGAAGTCCACGATGAAGTGGATGCAGTTCTTCGGTTTGTGCTCCTGCCCCCGCGAGGACAAGGAGGGCGAGGGGAGGAGGAGGACCCAGAACACTCCGACGACAGGCTTTTCGAATCGCTGGCCTCCAGGACCTCTCGACACTGGGCCGGTTTTACAGTCAGAAAGCCCATAAACAGTCTCCAGACGCGAAGCCCGGAGGAAGGAGGCGGGGAAAACGGCGGGAGAGGGGGAGAGGAAGGGCGAGAGGGAAACATTTGGGGATAGTGGAGGCGGGACGTGAAGCTAGGGGGCACGATAGGAGAGGGGCAGTGGAGGGGGAAGAGGGGGAGGGGGGACCTTCAACTCCCGCCCTCTCCGTCGTAAACGACCGTCGGCGACCCTCGACCCCTTGGCCGTTCCTGGTGTCCGGTCTGAGCTGGACTTCGCGGCGAGCGTGGCCACGAGGACACCATAGGAGGCCCAAAGGGATACCAAAATCGAAAGTGCCCTCCTCCTCCTCCTCCTCCTCCTCCTCCTCCGCCTCCTCCGCCTCCTCCGCCTCCCCCGCCTCCTCCTCCTCCTCCTCCTCCTCCTCCTCCTCCTCATCTTACAAATTGCCAGAATTTGTCCGGTCTGAGCTGGATTTCGAGGCGAACGTGGCCACGAGGACACCATAGGAGGCCCAAAGGGATACCAAAATCGAAAGCGCCCCCTCCTCCTCGTCTATCGGCCACGTTAGGTTGAAGCAGATTGGGGGGCATCAAGACAAGAGGAGGACGGGCGGGAGAGGTTGCATGCACGCGCACGCATATGCGCGCAAGCATACGCTCATGTGTACATGCACGTTCGTGCCCACAGCGTGCACGCATGCCCGCAGGTACGCGAGCGTAGTCGGCAAAACATGCACCCACGTCCGCGCGTGCCGTGTGCTAGCTTCAAGTCGAAGCGACATGTGCGCACGAAGTACTACGCCGTTCATTGATGTAGAAGTTGATAGTACTCCTCTGCCCCAGGCTGGCTTCGGCACCTCCTCAAAACCATCCTCTTCCTTCCCTTCCTCCTCCTCCTCCTCCTCTTCCTCCTCCTCCTCCTCCTCCTCCTCTTCCTCCTGCTCTTGACCATTTTCCCCCTCCACGTCCTCTTCCTCCATCCAACCTTCCCCCTCCACCGTATCATCATCCTTCTCATCCTCTTCTCCTCCTCCTCCTCTTTCTCTGTTTCTTCCTCCTGCTCTATCTCCGCCAGTGAGGCTCCGAGTATATTTGGGGGGCGCCAAGAGGACTAGGGCAAGAGGCGCTCCAGGCTGCATATATCCGAACGGCAGGCCGAGGGCGAGGACGATGAGGAAGAAGATGAGGACTGGGCGGAAGGAAGGGAGGGGGGGGAAGAGGGCAAGGATGAGAGGGGGAGGAGGGGGAGGTGGAGGAAGAGGGTGAGGATCAGGAGCGAGAAGGAGGGGGGAGGGGGAGGGAGGTAGGGATGAGTAGCAGGAGCCCGAGCAGGTTCACGAAGGGAGGAGGCGAGGATAAGCAAATGCACGAGCAGCAGTAGGGCGACGACGACGACGACGACGACGTGACAAACAGGAGGACGAGCACGAGGAGAAGAACGAGGAGGCGGAAATCCGCACCCCACAGGTGCCCCCAAACTTGTTCAGGGGTGCGCTCCGGCCAAGATCTCGGAGAGAATCCAGCCGTGGCCAGAGGGGGCCCCCCCACGGGCCCAGAACGTCCAGAAACCTCGACCTGCGGACCTCGACCCCTCGAACCCTCGAGGGCAGCGGAGGGTCTTGAGATGTACGCCCTGGCTTTAGCACGCCGCTGATGGCTACGCTCCGCGCGCCGGCGCGGGTCGGCCAGCGTCCTCGATCTCCTGCGACATGCGCGCGAAGAGCTGAGCCTGCCAGGCCCCAGCGGCGCAGAGATGTCGACCCAGGCTTCCAGCGGATTGAGCCGTTCCATCCCGGCGGGCTTCTTCCACTTCGGCTTCTGTCACAGATTGGAGCGGGGACGAAAAGCTACCCCGTGGTGTGAAGAAGCCGAGCCCTCTGGGGCCCGTGGATCGAAGCAAAAATACATCGTCACATGATCGGGTCGACGTCGCCGCGGCGGGGCAGCGCGCAAGGTGCAATGTGAAACCGAGGGCTCATCCACTCGCTGGCGGCTCGAATGATCGGAGGCGCAAGACGATGGCAGGAAGAATGTCCGCCGCGGCGCCGCGAGGAGCTGGGTGGAACGTCGCTGCAAAAACAAGCTGGGCAAACGACGCCCCAGAAAAAAACGTCGGATGTCATCGGGTCCCTTCGAGTTCTCCGTGTTGAATGCTGCACATACTCTTCAAGGGGCCCTGGTGCCCCAATCGCAGGATCTCCAGGGGGCGTGTCACGTGACTGCCTGGGCCTCCTCGAATGACTTTCCCAAAAATGTGTTCGATGTTGCTGGCTGCGAAGGAAGGAACCCGAATTGGCCTCTGGAGCGGCAGGTTGGCGGGATGGACCGAAAGCCACCAGATCCACCGCCCCCTTTTGTTTCCGAAGAAGTACTTGACGTGTCAAGGTCTAGTATCTTTGGGCCCTTCCGAAGGGTTTCCAATGGCCTCTGGCCCAGCCAGCTGGCCACCCGGAAACCACCAAAAGCCAGTGAAAAAGGTATCACCCGTGCAACATGTGTACCCCAACCCCTCGACTCCTGCCCTGAAGGTCTGTGAACGTACCCCCTTCGGGGGTCATGACAGCTGCTGGGCGAGCCCCAACATGGCATGGCGGACCCGAACGACCTCCCAGGGACCCACGAAAATGCCGACAGTTGCACGCTTCGCAGCTCCGCAAGGGGCCGCGAGGTCTCGGCAGATACGCGTGGACCTCCACTCCGCTGCACCTTCCAGAAGCCCACGAAAATGGAGACAGCTGCGCGTCTCGTAGCCCCTCACAGAGCCGCGAGGTGTCGGCAGATCCGCGTGGACCTCCACTCCGCTGCACCTCCCAAGAGCCCACGAAAATAGCGACAATTGCGAGGTTCGCAACCCCGCAAGGAGCCGCGAGGTCTCAGCAGATCCGTGTGGACCTCCACTCCGCTGAATCTCCCAGAAGCCCACGAAGATGGTGACAGATGCGCGTTTCAAAACGAAAACCCAACACAAGAAGGCTGGGAATAAAGCGAGAAGCAAGAGGAAGGAGGAGCAGGAGGAAAAGGAGGAGGAGGAGAAGGGGAAGGATCAGTGCAAACCCAAGACTCATCAACGATGTTGGAATAAACCCTCCCTCCAAGCTCCCTCTTCACAAGCCCATACAAGGATTCATCTCAATATGAAAAGCACACGCGCGCGCTGTCGCGCGCGGATGCCGTAATCGGTATAATAACGTTCAGCGTTGCACGGACTTCAAGATCGAGCGCCCCGAAAATATGTTCAACACATGAAACAAAAAAACAGCAGCAATAACAACACCTGGCGAAGAACCAACCGAATGCAGTAGTGAGTACCGTCGTTGCGGGCATCGCCGTCGGGGGATCTCCTCATAGGGCAATGAAGCATGCGAAGGGTGTGCAGATGTGGGGCGGGGCCGCCATGTGGGCGCTGCCACTGGTGCTTCAGGCGGAACGCACTACGGGGCCGCGAAAACTGTCAGGGGGGCGCCGCAGTGGGCCGAGGCCACCAGTGAGCCCTTCGGTGGAGCTCCCTATGGGGCAACGAAATAATGTGGGCGGGTGTGACGCATGCGACTACAGCCACCGGGGCCTTCGATGCAGCTCCCCATGGGGCCACGAAGCGCTGTGCTGGGTGCGGGGAACGCATGCGAACACCGCCACTGGGGCTTTCGGTGGAGCACCCTATGGGGCCACGAAACGCTGCACTGGGTGAGGGGACTTTTCTGGGGCCACTGGGGCCTTCCTTGAAGGTCCCTATGGGGCCACGACACGCTGTACTGGCTGGGTGCGGGCGACGAATGCGGGCAGTGCCACTGGGGCCTTCAGTGGAGCTCCCTACAGGGCCACGAAACGCCGTAATGGGTGGGGGGTGACGCATGCGGGCGGTGCCACTGGGGCCATCGGTGGAACTCCCATGGGACCACGAAACGCTGTACTGGGTGGGGGTGACGCATGCGGGCGGCGCCACTGGGGCCTTCGGTGGGGTTCCCTACGCGGCCAGCAAAAGCTGTACTAGGCGGGGGTGACGCACGCAGGCGGTGCCACTGGGGTTTTCGGTGGCGCTCCCTATGGGGCCACGAGACGCTGTACTAGGTGGGTGTGACGCATGTGGGCGGTGCCAGTGGGGCCTTCGGTGGGGTTCCGTATGGGGCCGCGAAGCACTGTACTGGGTGGGGGTGACGCATGCGGGCGGTGCCGCCGGGGCCTTCGGTGGAGCTCTTTATGGGGTCACGAAACGCTGCACTGGGCGGGGGTGACGCACGCGGGCGGTGCAATTGGGGCCTTCGGTGGCGTTCCCTATGGGACCACGAAACGCTGTACTCGGTGGGGGTGACGCATGCGGGCGGTGCCACTGGGGCCTTCGGCTGAGCCCCCTATGGGGCCACGAAACGCCGCACTGGGTGGGGGGGTACGCATGCGGGCGGTGCCACTGGGGCCTTCGGTGGGGTTCCCTATGGGGCCACGAAACGTGTGAAGGGTGTGCCCAAAATGACTGTGTACGACGCATGCGGGCGGTGGCGCTGGGGCCTTCGGTGGAGCTCCCTGAGGGGCCACGAAACGTGTGAGGGGTGCTATGATGGTGATGACGACGATGACGACGTAGATTATGACGATGACGGCGATGATGGTGACGATGATCATGTTGATCATGATGACGATGATGACATTGACGATCCGGATGATGATGAAGGGAGGAGGGCGGGGGCAGCGGGAGAAACGCGGGGCGCTGTCTCTTCAGAACGAGGATCCAACACAAGAGGATGGTTGGAAACAGAAACAAAAATAACAAAAACGGTTTCCTTCATTTGCTAATCAAATGAATCCAAGCGGGCCTCCAGCGCGTGCATGTCGTAATCATTCGAACGCCCATGCGCGCGTGCTTTGGGGGGCACGATTCCTGTCAAATGATATCGTGCGGACCATTCGCGCCCGTCGGCCGCGCGTGCATGTGGAAACCCCATTTTCCAAAACCCTCATCACCGACGCGCACACACCATCATCATCATCGGCGTGATCACCAGATGCGCCGTCATTGGCCTTGCCGTCGCCATCGTCATCGTCATTCTCGCCCCCAGCACCGCTGCAATAATCATCGTGCCTGCCGTTGCCGACGTTGCCATGATACCGCGCCCGCCCCAGTCACCGACTCGCGTCAAGCGCCCACGCGTCAGCACGGCCTGCGAGACGCGCTGGGAAGCCCCCAGCGGTCACCGCCACCGTCGGTCGCGACAGCCTAGCTGGCCGCTCGCGCGCGCGAGCCTTCGCGCACCCGCGCGACCGCAGCAATGCGCCAGGCAGCGCGAGGCAGCCATCGCAATCGCCGCTGCATGGGTTGGGCCAACCAAGTTGCGGGTTGGTGGGTGGGATGGTTGCGCGAGCACTAGAGTGGACATCGTCAAGCTCAACCAAGCGAATTGCATCGCATTCATTGCACAACATTAATAGCACAACATATGTTGCACCACCTC